ATGTGTCAATGAAACATCCTATTGAACTGAGAAATTGACACCGTGTAGAGGTTTCTGCATGTTTGTGGGGGGGTTCCCTGGTGAAATTGACAGGACAGAGCGGCGGTCTCTACAGCTATGCGCACGCTTTGCACTGGTGTAAATGCCTGCCCACGGGGCAGAGTGATGGTGAATCAGGGCCTAGATCAGACCACCTGGACCCTCATTAGGTGCTGCAACACCCCAGGGCTCCTGGCCTAGCACCTCGGGGCCCAGCTGCTGGGACTCTGCTGGGGACCCAGCTGCTGCCCTGCTCTCTGCTGCTGGCTCCGTACTCAGGATCCCAGCTGCTGCCCCATGCGCCCGGGGTTCTGCTGCTGGCTCCGGGCCTGGGGTCCCAGCTGCTGGCCCCCCACACCAGGGCTTTGCTCCCAGCCTCAGCTGGGTGGGGGGAAGCCAGAGGAAAGGGGAGGATGTCAGCACCCCTCACTCCTAAAACTGTTCCCCCCCCTCCTCCTTACTGGCTGTGCTTGGTATTTCAGGCTGTTATTACCCCATCGGGCTGCAGAGGGGGGGAAGGCCACACCCGGGCTTGGGGAACCTTGTTCCCCATCAGATGCTGAGAGGAGGGGGCTGCACCTGCACAGTGGCTCTGGCCTTTGCAGAACAAACTCCGACCTGACTTGACCTCGACATGCAGCTGGGAACTTTCCGGGGGGAGGGGCAGCTCAGAGCTTTCTAGGTGCTTCCTCTGGGTTTCCTTTCTTGGCACCTCCATAGCCCCAAGGATCCTGACTTGTCCGCTCTCAAGAGCAGCTGCCTGTCTATCCAGGGAGTACCCAGGCACCGATCCCTTTGGGATGCAAGCACTGGGACAGATAAGGCTGCTCATCATCAAAGGGTATAGCTCAGTGGTAGAGCATTTAACTACAGCTCAAGAGGTTCCCTGGTTCAAATCCAGGTGCCTCCTTCAAAAGTTTTAGGGCAGGGGACTGGACTCGATGGCCTCTCGAGGTCCCTTCCAGTCCTAGTATTCTCTGCCGTCTGTGCTGCTCGTAGGGACGGTAACATTAGATGAATCAGCTAACGGAACAGTGGATGGGATTTCCATCGACTAGTAGCTGAGGGCGCTTCCGCTTTGAAATGTAGCAAGCGCCCGCCTGGCTGTTGTGCCACTGACGTGTACGAGGGCCCAGCAGAGGTTCATGTGGATTTCAAAGACTGAAGCACCGCGGGGAGCCCGGAGTCAGCCGGGGACTCCCCGCTGGTCCCCGGTTCCAGGCTGCATTTCTATCTTTGAAATGCACAAGAGCTTCTGCTGGGACTCTCTCGTACATTTCAAAGGCAGAACGACACCGCGCCCCTGCCCCCTCCCACTGAGCTGGAGCAGGGGGGGAACCAGCTTTTAGGCCAGCTCCCCTCACTACCCCCTTCTTCCCCCCCTCCCCCACTGCCTTTTTCTGATAGAGGCAGTGGTCGGGGGGCAGGGGAAGCGACTAGCTGACTAGTGTGTTGACTCTTGGCTAAGGTTTTGCTTATTGGACAGTCGACTAGTTGATTAGTCGCTTACACTCCTAGTTGCTAGCGAGGCTCCGCAACATAACACAATCTCATTAGGCTTCAGAGTCATACGGCACCACCTCCTATGCTCAAACATCCCATTGTCTGCCAGGCTGGGAATGCCCCAGAGCATGGGCTGAGGTTTGATTTAGGCAGCTGTTCCTGCTCTGTGCCGTCTTGTATAAATAGCAGCTAGCGGGGTGGTGCTGCTAAATGCCTTAGCTTCCTGATGGATCCACCCTCTGTGAGCCACCCAGCTTCAGACAATGGCTGGGAAAGTTCCCTTTTAAAGGGCACGTGGAACCGGGCACTGAAGCGCTCGGGGGCTTTTCGCAAAGAGGCGCTCCAGTCTATTGGAATGGATTCGGGAAGTCTAGCAGGCTTCTCCAACGTGTCTCCCATGGCTCAGACTGGTTCTCGAACACTTTGTGAATCTCTTTCATCCTTCCCCTCCTTGGCAGAGGGCCGTTTTCCACAGCCGGGGTAAGACAACTCCCGAGGGAGTCAAGCCAAATCCTCACAGAAATGTAAGGTTGGAAGGGACCTCAAGAGGTCGTCTCGTCTAGCTCCCACGCGGAGGCGAGACCAAGTACGCTAGTCGATCCCCGATGACAACGTTCCTTCTACGTTTTTTCCATCCAGTGTGCGGAATACATTTTGCCATGTGCACGAAGGCAAGTGTGGATGTGCACCACCAATACACACACACGCTGCCGGCTGTGGGTGCTCTGCCAAGTAGCTGAGTGGGATTTGAATCCCTCCTGGGCAGCAGTCCAAGTACTCGGCTTACAGGGAATGCTGCCGGACTGGTGCTTGTCCAACCTGTTCGTAAAAACCTCCAGTGACACGGATTCCACAGTCCCCTTGGGAGCCGGATCATCCTACTTTGCACATGGCTCAGGGCAGCAGGGTGAAGCCCCTTTGCCCTGCCAAGATGAAATCCAGCCCAGGTGGGCAGTGCCCCACGGAGGCCGAGGCGAAGCCGGTTAGTGGGCGGAGCCCCGCTCGTAGATGTGCGCTTCAAAAAACGCCGTTTCCAAAAGGGACATCTCTGCTGGCGGCCTGGCCACAGAAGCTGGACTCTGAGTCCCCTTTTGCCCCTGCCCCAGCGGGATGCTTGCCTGCCAATGTGCATCTCGTGCCCTGGTCCGTGGCTCAAAGATCACTGGTGCTAAAGCAACATGGAGATTGACTGGGAACAGGCCTATCCATGGGACGGACCCTGGGGGCACAGCCCCACGGCCAGGATGGCAAGTAGGATTGAGCCAGGCAAGGAGCCCAGCTCTCATAACGGGGATCAATTGGGAAAGATACAAAGAACCGGCTGAGATGGGTGATTTGAGACACTCCTGCTCCGGGCTGCTTGTTTATTGAAATAACTCACAGAGCATCCATCAGCAGAAAGCAGGGACGTGAACTCCTGTGTAATTCGTTAACCGGTTAGAGGTGATGTTTAGCCAAGTAACCGGGGGCTGCTTGTTTATTGAAATAACTCACAGAGCATCCATCAGCAGAAAGCAGGGACGTGAACTCCTGTGTAATTCGTTAACCGGTTAGAGGTGATGTTTAGCCAAGTAACCGGGGCCTTATAGGCGGGGGCAGCTTCAGCCTGGCCAGAGCAGCCCCCTGCCTTCAATGGATCCTGCCTGCAGCAAGTGCCGAGCTGCTCTAGCCCCACTGGTTAACCTGAATTGTAGCTGTCACCCATTAAGGGCAGTGCTTACGGGTTAACCAGTTAACCTTTCACATCCCTGGCGAGAGGCACTTGGGTACTGACGGAACAATCCAATGGTCAATAATCACATTGGACCCACTGATACGCAGCACCCCAGACTCCCTGGCAGCCATGGGGGCAAATGGAAAGAGGGGACATTAAAGGTCCTGTACTAGGGACCCAATGGAGAGAGCAACAGGATGGTGCTCACTCGCTGGCCCGCTCCGCTGCACGACCTCCCACCAGTCGCTTCCCCTTTCTCCACAAGCAGAAGAGAGAGCAGAGCAGTGCTGCCGGTGAGGTGCTCGGAGATCCACGCACAAGCAGCCCGGGGTGCTAGGATGAAGACTCATCTGAGGCACCTGCAGGACTTAAGGGTGAGATCTGAAAACTGCCGCTGGGAGTTTCGGTCCTACCTCCTAAAGCAGAAGGTTCCATGGAAAAGGCCCTCGAGCTAAGGGCGCCTTGTCGAAAACGCAAGACAGTTAGCAAAGGCACAGGACAAAAAACGGTCAGGCGAGTAACCTTGGCACTCGATTAAGGACCTTAGAAATGAGCGATTAGCCCCTGTGATGACGAATGATGGGCCAGGGGTGAAAGCACAACGCTGGCGGACCCGATTCCTCAGTTCTATTTCCAGCTCTGCCATTGGCTCTCACTGTAGTTGGCCGTATTAAGGCCTCTGGGGAGGGGCAGTTTCGAGGCCTCTGGGGTGGTAGTTGGCGGTATTTACGGCCCCGAGATGAAAGCTGGCAGTTTTGAGGCACCCAGGGTAGTAGTTGGCGGTTTCGAGGTCCCCAAGATGGCAGTTGGCGGTTTCCAGGCTCCTAGGGTAGTAACTGGCAGTTTCCAGGCCCCCAGGGTAGTAACTGGGGGTTTCCAGGCTCCTAGGGTAGTAACTGGCAGTTTCCAGGCCCCTAGGGTAGTAACTGGGGGTTTCCAGGCTCCTAGGGTAGTAACTGGCAGTTTCCAGGCCCCCAGGGTAGTAATTGGCGGTTTCGAGGGCCCTGGGGTGGTAATTGGCGGTTTCGGGGGCCCCGGGTGGTAGTTGGCGGTTTCAAGGCCCCCCAGTGGCCTGGCCGAATGGTGTCACAAGAGGGCTCCCACAGGGGGCCAGGCACTGGTGCCTGATGGCCGGGTCGAGCCTACACTCTCTCCAGGCCGGGCTTCTAGGGCGTAGGCCGGAGGGAGCCGGGAATCGCCATGGCAACAGCATGGGAAAGGCGTCGTAGTGGATCCGCAGAAGGTGATTGGTCACTGATGCCGTCATTCAAGCTGCCGGGGGGCGGGCGTACGTGCGCGTCTGCGGAGCGGCGAGATCCGCTATCGCGATTGGCCGGCCTTGCCGTCACTCACTCTGACGCGAGTGTTGTGTTGTTCTCTGTCTAATTGGCGCCGCGCTCCGTCACTGAAGCGGCTTTGGGAGCGGGCGGGGTGGGCTGGGCTTGCTGCTTTCCGATTGGGTAGCTCAGTTGCCACTCTCCAGCCCCTGAGGGCGGGCGGAACGCCTCGCCCGGTGATTTGGCGACCGACCTGTCAGTTCCACTGTCCTCGGCGGCGGATTGGCGGGATGTTGTTCTCTGTCTAATTGGCGCCGCGCTCCGTCACTGAAGCGGCTTTGGGAGCGGGCGGGGTGGGCTGGGCTTGCTGCTTTCCGATTGGGTAGCTCAGTTGCCACTCTCCAGCCCCTGAGGGCGGGCGGAACGCCTCGCCCGGTGATTTGGCGACCGACCTGTCAGTTCCACTGTCCTCGGCGGCGGATTGGCGGGATGCCGCACGGGGGCGGGCTCAGGCCCGCGGTGCAGGGAAGAGGCTGTTGGAGCTGAGCGTGTGGGGCCGGCCGGCCGGCGGTGGCTGCCTGCGGGGCCGGAAGCCTCGTGGCTGAGGAGCGCGCGGAGCGGGTACC